CCTTCTGGGCTCTTGATGGATCGGACAAAGATGTTCAGTAAGTAACACAAGGCTACTCCTTAACCAATTGTGCACGGTTCTGAGTCGCTGCACTTGTTGGTCACTCAGTGAGCTTTGAACATTTTATGACGTCAAGAGTGTGTCAATAAGAGGACATAAAACTAAAAACATTTTAAGTCTAAAAATTAGCGAAAATCATTTTTTTTCTTTCAATTGAGCGCGCGCGAGACGTGATGGTGTCAGCAAAGTGTGCATGTCCTCTTATTGACACACTCTAATCAGCCAATCAGCACGCGAGAATCTACACAAGTGTGATAAAAGACTTATTTGATCGTGACTTCAATATAAACTTTATATAACTTTTATTTCTCTTAGCGTTCATGGCAACACAACGTACAAAGATGTCGATGATATCAGAGCGTTGCACTTCTCTGGACTTAACAGCTGGGCCACTCTTCCTGCGATCAAGTTCAATCCCAAAGGATACACTTACATGATTTGGATCAAGCCAGCTCGTGACCAGAGGATGGCTAATTTGCATTTCTATAACGACTGGTATTCCCCACCCTCCTTCAGTCTAGTCTACCAAAAGGACCACCAGTCTGTGTATGTATGGGCCAAAAATAGAACAAATTCACGCACGGTTTCCAGCTATTCACAAGGGCTTTGGAAGTAAGTTTATTCTATGAGTGAGGTCATGTCTTTAGTGAGTCCAAACAATGGAATTGACATAGTTTGACACTATTTAGTGATTTTGTTTAATTAATCTTTCTATTGTTAGCCGAGTACGTAAGGATGTATGGACACACGTTGCAGTTATCTGGAACAAAGCCCAAAGCATGCTAATTATTGTTTTAAATGGAGTCATTGCACAGAGAAACCCCAAGCCCTACGTGGATTTATTGGAGACGTATCATTCTCGCTTCTATCTTGCTGTCCTAGGCAATTCTGTAGGCAACGTTGGTAACCTGATAGGATTCCACGGTTATATGAGTAACCTGATGGTATTTGATAGGGTATTGGACGAACAAGAAATCCAGGCAGCTCAAGGTATTTGAACAAAACGTGCCGTTGTAATTGCAACGTGTGCGTTTTCTGTCCTTGTGAAAACATTCTGCCTAAAATTATGATCATTTCATAAGTCGACATTCTTCCATGGAAACGAGCCTCATAACGGCCGCGAAAGGAGAGTCGAACGCTGATTTTCGATAATTTCCTGGAGAAATGCCCCACAATAGCTCTTTTGCAAGAAACGGTCGCATGGTACTAAATCCACCATGCTTGATGGCAAAATTCCCACTGGGATGTTCAAAACAAAGAAAAGTCAAGGTTGATGGGCTGTGTCAATCCAGTATGGCGGATTTAGTACCTTGTGACCGCTTCATGCAAAAGGCCTATTAGAGGAAATGTATGTGCGGAGTTTTTCTTGCGCCATTAAACAAATTTACGATAGTTTCGCGTGGTATGTCCTCTTGTTTACCACAGTTGGATCATCGAATCGTCTGAAACGAGACGCAATCGCGT